TCAACTGATTTTTGTGTGTTGAGCCACCCGTGCATTCCTGAAATTAGTCCCACTTGGTCACAGTGTCTATCCATTTTTTTTTGTACCAGGGATCGAACTCGGGACCTTGCACTTGCAAGGCAGGTGGTGGCACCACTGAGCTAAATCCCCGGCCCCTCGTATCTATTACTTTTAATAACTGCTCAATTTGGCTTGCTCATCCTTAGCTAGGTAGTTTTGCATATATGTCCGGAAGGGATATTTATCTGTAGTTTTCTCTCTTTTTGTGTATCAGAGAAGATATACAACAAAAATTCCTCTAAAATGTTTGAGAATACAACATGAGTGATGCCCCACTCCTAAAATCAAAGAAATTGTAAAATGTACTAATAAACAAGGATAGATGTTAGCACTTTATCCTCCTTGCTGGAATCACTCTTATCTCTTAAAAAGTGATGGATTATAAGTTGCTTTTAATATTTGGATTTGTTGTATCCATGGAGATCATAGAAAAGATGTAGTTTCTGCCCCAAAGATGTCTGGGTTCAAATCTCAGTCCCTCCTCTAACCAACTGGGAGACCTGAAGAAAGACAGGTCTTCTCTCTACCTCAATCTTTCCCTTCCCCATTTGGAAATTGATCAGAAAGTGCAGGGTACACTGTAGTTAGCCATTTACTTTCATAGCTGCCTGATGATGCCTGTGTTCATCTACTGAGTGACTCCCAGTTCCCACACGATGATAACAGAACAACATGAGGTGCTGGCCATTCACGCTTCATTCATAAATCTAATATTTACTGAGGCACTACTGCATGTTAGGACCTCTCCTGGGTGCTGGGCACCAGCATGAACAAGACAGACAAGTCCTGCGTTCACACAGCACTGTGGGATGGGAGGGCTGTGTAGCTAGCTCTGCTAGGGTCAGGTTCTGTGTCCTTTCTCCCCCTTGGCCCCCTAATCCCTGAACCTGCAGCTTTTACTGTTCCTATGTGCTCCATTTGAGGCAGTCTTTCTCCTCCTTCCTGTGGCTGCCTCCTGCTCTTCTTCTCTTGCGTATTGTCACGCAGGCCCTTATATTCCATGCTTTTGTGAGGAGGTGACCTTCAGTGCCTTATTGGGAAGATTTGCTGGAGATCAGATTAAGGAATTCATGTGCCAGTCCCGAAAGGCACCACATACCTGCCCTGTACATGGATGTTCCTATGTGCCCTGCTCTGCTTTCCTACCGGGCCTTGCAGATGCCATTGCCTGTGAAGTTGTCGCCTACCTGTGGTCTGGCTAAGTCCTACTCAGCCATGTAAAATACATGTGGGAGAACTTGGGAAGTCTGACTTACCCTGAACTGGTGAGACATGATAACCCCTTGTGCTTCCTTCCTCAACTGCTCACTTGATCCTGCCTTGCCCTAGTGCACATGCTACTCGGATGTAGGAGTAAGTGAGGCCTGTCCAAACTAGGCTCCTTCATTTATCTCTCTGCCTTTGGCACCTGGCATGGGAAAGGGAAACTGGTAAATATTTTTCAATGGTGGTAAAATCTATAAATTATTTTCCTGGTCTAGAACCTTGACTTTAATAATGGATGGGGGAAAACTACTTAGCCCATTTATTGAAGGCATGTAATACTCCTTATTATTAGTAACAGACATAGAGGTAAAGTCTACTGTTGGTGGAAAAAGTGATCCAGTTGAGCACTGCTAGGTTTACACAAAATAGAGAGAGGAGCATACCTGGACAGTTCTATGCCCAGGCCAACGGTGCAGGTTCTGAGTTCAGTATTCCTTGTGGCAAGTGAGTTATCAGCATTCCTGTTCTGTTTTTCTTTCCTTCCCCTCTTCCTTCCCCTCAAATATGAACAGTAACTGAGCACCTGCTCTGGGTTGCGTTTTGTGCTGGTCACCGAGGATACAGAAAACATTTGGACCAAGTCTTTGCCCACAAAGAGCCCCAGGCATTGAAGGAGACATAGTCCTGGGCAGGTGACTGCAGCATGCATAATATGTACTGTGATCTGCCCCAGACCCTATGGGAACAAATATTTAAAGTTCAAGTAGGGATATGAGGGATATGACTCCATTGCATTAGCCACTCCTTCCCCAGGGAGGAATAGACGAATCACAGTAGAGAAGGGGGAATGAGGAATAGTTTCTCTCTTGACATGTGTCCAGATGTAAGCCCGAATCCCTGAGGAAGACACAAGAGATGTAACACCAGAGATGGAGGAAGAGATGAAATTCTGTCCGCAGAATTTGGATGACAGATGAATCCTGAAGGGGAGGGTAAAGGTCACGTTTGGACTTTGTTAGACACTGGTATAAAATCCAGCTAAGAGTCCATGCATTTGGTGAAGTGAATCTGAAAGGCAATATCATTCATATACAGTGGCATTTGATAAATGTAAAGAGTAGGAGGAATTTAGAGGCTTAAGGCTTTGGCTTGCTAGGAAGTGAGATTCTTTGGTTTGGTTCCCCAGAAATAAGTGGTTGCATAAACAGCAGGGGAATCTGGTCTCCATGTAGAAAGGGGCTGGTTTTCCTGGAGTAATGCATCTTGTGGGCACAGGGCATTTGAGCCTGGCTCCACTATTGCTATGAGTGTGGCCCAGAGAAAGTCATTTTTCCTGGGGCGATCAGTCATTTAGCATCTGTGCTATAGGAATGACCTTGGCCCCCACAGGGAGGTGTAAGAGTTGATTGAATTTAGACAGGCTCAGCCATCCTGAGGCCAACTTGGGGATGGTCCTCTCAGGATGGGGCTGCAGTCCACACAGAGCACAGACCGGGAGAATACGTCCGGATGAGATTCTGTGCATCTGGAAAGAAGGTACTGCTTGAGGTCCAGTGGGCAGAGACAGGGCTCCAGGTCGAGGAGGCCCAAGTAGCTTAGGTTTTTCAAATGTGCTCTCAGCTTGCTCTCCCCGTGTTTCTGTGTGTGCGTGTATGTGATAGGATGGGGGAGAAAACCCAAGGGATTGGTTCACCTGTGTTTGTCGTTAGGCTCAGGCTTGCTGATGTTTCTGTCACAGCTAATCTAAGTTTTTAGAGGTTTTTTCCTGATTCACTGGAGCATTTTAAATTGCATTAAGTTGTCATTGATGAAAAGCCCAAAAGTCACCATTATTTGGTAAAAAGAAACCACATACATTTGCACACACCTGCACACACACATTTACCCCCCACACACACACACTCCCCCTGCTCTGTGGTTGCCCTTTGCCTGTCTCCTCCTGGCCCTGGCCCAAGGCCCTGTTACAGTGAACATGCCAGTTCCTGGGATGCATTTTCCTGGTCCACTGTAGTTGCCCCACTGATCATTATAAATACTGGCCTCACATGGGTACTTTGCAAACAAAGACTGAGTAAATAAGTTTGCCCTCAACTTATTCACTTGTCACTGGCTTAATATTTTTCTGTTTATTGAAATCTTTAAAAAAAAGTATTCACTTATTATGTGAACCAGACTAACTTGGATGCCCTGTGCCTTTGAAATAACCTCCCTCTCATTGCAAACACTGAGGTGTGGGCCCCTTGAACAATTCTTTGTCTTATCTTTTCATTCATAGATATTGGCTCAGCATGTGTGGAGGCTCTACTCCACACTGAGTTTTCAGCCTGCCATGAGTCCCTGTGATCTGCTGTTTATTGGGGCAGACAGTAGGCAAATGGATGAACAACAGCCTGCTGCTATTTGAAGACCCCCGTAGGGTTCACCAGGAGCAGCTGAGGGGGCCTTCTTGTCCAGGCCGAAAGGGAGGTGCCTGGGAAAAGCTTTCTGGAAGAGCAGCATCCAAGTTGAGCACCACCAGAGAACTGTGGATTTCAGCCAGAGGCAAAATGTCCCACACAGCAAGGACTGTTACAGACTTGATATCAGTGGGAAATGGCTCAAAAATCTACAGCCCCCAAATGCCACCTGCTAGGCCAGTGGGGAGAGGCGTGAGGTCGAGGTTTGGGGGTGTCTTAGTCACCTTCCTCATTGCCGAGACTCAATACCTGACACCAGAAGCTTAAAGGAGGAAAGGTTTATTGTGGCTCACATTTTAGAAGTTTCAGTCTTTTCGCAGTTGACTGGGTCCAGGCAGAAGTGGCATGGTGGGAGACTCTGATGAAGGAAAGCTGCTCCTCATGTGGCAGCCAGGAAGCAGAGAGAATTGAGAGAGGATGTCATGCCTCCCATGAGCCGCCTCTTCTGACCAGGCCCTGCCTCCTAACATTAGCAATAATGGCCCATAATCCAGTCACTTTCCAAAAGCCCCACCTATGAGTACCTGGGGCTTTGGGAGCACATGTAGATATAAACCGTATCAGGAAGGGTGGTCTGTGAGCTGTGTGCTCTGAAGGGATCAGGCAGCAGCAGTTGTGGGGTCCTCCCGCAGGAGACCACCCCCTCTCTTCCCTGCAAGCCCATGTCTTACCATAAGCTGGCACATCCCCCAAATGCACTGGGTGGACAGAGATGGTGGGTAGTGTGTTTGTCACCTTTCTGGTCGCTGGGACAAAATATCTGACACCTGTAACTTAAAGGAGAAGAGGGTTATCTTGGCTTATGATTTCAGAGGCCCATGGTCTACTGGCTCCGAGTCAGAAATATCATGGTGGACGGGCCTAGCAGGGAACAGCTGCTCAATTCATGGCATCATGGAAGCAGAAAGAAAGGGAAAGAGGTGGAGAGGAAGGGTCTAGGGAGGGATATGCCTTCCAAAGTCATGCCATAACCGCAGTGACCTACTTCCTCCTCTGGGGCCGCCTCCTAACCACACGTTCAGCTATCAGCCCCTTGATCCATTCACCTTCCTAGGTATCACTTCTGGACTCATGAGACTTTGGGTGACATTTTAGATCTAAGTCATAACAGAGTGGGAACGCTTAGCTTTGCTCACTGGTTGGTCACATTATTGGCTGCTTGCAGTGTGGCAGCCAGGAGTCAAGAGTGGCCAAGAGGCTGGGTATGGGATGAGGTTTCCTTCCTGCTTTGAAGAGGAAGCTCAAGAGTTCTTCTCTAAGGATGTGTTCTTCACACAGGAGATGCTCCACTAGACCCCAGCAGGGTCTCTTCCTGGCCAAGACGTGCTCGTCTCCAAGAGCAAGGGAGCCATGGTGGGCCCCCGATGGAGCACTGCAGCCTGCCTCCTCTGGATACTGCTGCTGTGGAGTCAGGACGGCAGCTGCCAGGCCCAGCGGGCAGGTGAGCATCGCAGGCTGCACTCTCGCTGGGGCTGAGCTGGCCATGTGCGGGTCCGTGTGTCTGTCAGGGTAGGTGTGGGAGTGGGCCACAAGGCGGCTCAAGGCTGACTGGATGTGCGTGTGTCAGTTACCCCACAAGTGTGTGTGTGCCGCCCGCCCCTCTACCCGGGAGTGTGTAAGAACCTGCTGAGCCGGGAGCTGTGTGTGAGTGTGATAGTGTATGAAAGGATGTCAGTACGAGAGTGTGTGGTCACATGAGTGTGATAATGTGTGCGAGAGCGTGCGACCGTGTGAGTGTGAGTGTGTGAGAGTGAGAGACTGATTGTGCATGGGAGGCTGTGAGAATGTAAGTGTGCGAGTGTGTGTGTGACTTTGAGGGAGTGTGGAAGTGTGTGGTTTACGATCATGTGTGCTTTCAACTGGGTGTGGGAAGGGTAGAGGGAGGGTGGAGGACGCGGCTGCTCTGGCCACTTCTCCCTCAGTCAGGAGTTTGGGGGCTGGGCCTCAGGCAGGGCTTGGGGCCCTGCTGTATTGCTCTGCCCTGTGAAGGCTTCAGGCACGTTTTTGGGGATGGACACGTTTGGGGCCATCCAGAGAGGCTCCAGGACACGAGGGGAACTTGCCTATGGGGTCCACCAGGGACAGGGAATGCTTGCTGGGGATGGGAAGGCAGGGGAAGCGGGGCTGTGCTGGGACAGGATGGCTTTGCTGTCCTGTCTGGGGTCCCTGCCATGGGAGCGGCAGCAGTCAGTGCTGAGGCGTGAAGGGGAGGCGGGAACATGAGGCCACAGCACCCAGCACAGAGGTGGCAGGTGGGGTCCTCCGGTGTGTGAGGATGCTCTCCAGGGTGCAGACAGTGTCTGTCCTTTGATCCAGGGCATAAAATGCTATCCTCATCTTGCAGCAGAGGACTGAGGTAGAGATCTGCGAACCCAGAAGCCAAGACAGCCAGAATGGAAAGTGATGCACTAAAGCTTGTTCCCTGGGTCTCAAAAAGCAAAGATTCCCTTATTCCTTATGGATTATGTAGAATGCCCTCACACACGGTGCCATGCTGAGCCTCTCCGAGCCTGACTAGAGGAAATGACGTAACAACTATGGACACCCAGCTTTCCTCAGGAGGGACGGGTGTCTCTGTTCATGAAGTCAACCATAGCTGCACAGTTGGCTCAAAGGGCAAAGCTCCTGGATTAGCCCTCTATGCCATCATCCCAGGGTGCAGCAGGGTGGCCCAGGGAAGCAGACACCTGCCAGGAGTGCAGGACCCTTGCCTGTAGCAGGGCCCAGACTCCAGTCACAGCATTCTTCAGCCCGTCACTTACCTGCCACATGCCCACAACCCTGGCTGTCCCCCTGCTCCAGGGAACATGTGCCCAGAGCTCCCAGGGCCCTGGTGAGGCTCCTGACCAAGTGGACCTCCTGCAGCCCTAAAATAAATTTGCTGTAGGATTAGAGTCCACAGGCTGGGCCTGCCTGGCCTTCAGCACAATTATCCTGGACAGGCTGTGATGTCATTGTCCCAGAGACAAAAGGATGACCTTTATGTCAAAGAGAAAGCTCCTAGGACTTATCCCTGAGCCCACACATCTGAGCAAACACACCCCAGAAACTCTAACCATGCCCAAGACAGTCCTGCTTGGACCTGAATTAACTCAGAGGCCGCCATAACCTGTTGTAGCTTGGATTTTGAAAACTGCAGGGAGAGGTTGGGGTGGAATATTCAAAGTGGCATTGACTCAGGTCAGACAGGGAAGGGGTGTATATGTGTGTGTGTGTAAATACATACAGCTCTATATCTTTTCTGGGTTTGAACCTTTTTGATTGCAAATATAAAAGCTGAAAATATGAAATAATAAAATTCATTCCTAATTTTGTTTGCCAGGAGTAAGCACAACTTCTTTCTACAGGGTGTCTGTACAACACAGCTGTACACACACACACACACACACACACACACACTCAGAGCACAGGTTTTCTTTCCAGAAATTCTGTCCTACTGTACACATTTTGTAAATACCTTTTCACTCCCGACACTGTATTGGAAAGCATGTGGATTCCTTCCCAGCTCTCCTAGCTCTGCTGTGACTGCCTAGCATTGCACTGTAGGAATCAATTGCACAGTGGTTTGTTAGTTGTCATCCTATATGAGTGGTGGTGTAGGTTGTTTCTATAATTTTCTTGGTCATGCCACTGTGATATCATTTATATGAATAATTGTTTTCTAATTTTCTTGGGGTAGATTACTAAATGTGGAATTGATGGAGGAAAAGTTCCAGGCCCAGAGAATGGGTTAACAAATGCCATAGCCACTTTTTTTCCAGTACCAGGGAATGAATCCAGGTGTTTGTACTGAGCTATATCTCAGCCTTTTTTATTTTTTGAGACAGAGTCTCGCTAAGTCACTAAGTTACCCAGGCTGGGCTCAGACCTGCGGGCCTCCTGCCTCAGCCTCTCAGAGTGAGGCTTGGGGAGCAGACAGATGCCTTCCTGTCCTGCTCCTGTGATAGCACTCGGGAGTTTAGAACACTCTTTCCTATGCGATCTATAAAATGGGTGAATAAGCCCTGCACAGGGCTGCTGTGTGGATGGGAGAAAGCATATGCTCCCTTCTTTTGCTTATTCAAAGGCGCCGCATACTTCATATAAAATCTGTAGTTATAAGAACACAAGTATATGTTCATAACACATTAGAGAACTTGCATAAATTTACATTTAAAATACATGAGTACTGTATTTTATATGACTTCTAATGGGGGAATACTGTAAAATACTTCAATATCCAGCAAGACAGTGTGGGCTGAGCTTCGCTGCGTTTGTCCATGCAGTGGCCTCTGCAGCCATGGAGCCAGCACTGTGGCTCTGGAAAGCGGCATCTGGCACACTGCCAGGTTCGGGCAAAGGCTCATCTCCCCACTGAGCTGGCCACAGCTCTGTTCCCATCGGCGGCTGTAGGGAAATCAAATGTGGCAAGGACAGACACCATGTGCTCACAGCACTTGTCTCTGTGTAGATGGCCCATGAGCACTTCGGATAGTTTCTGATCAAACACTTATTCAAAATGGGCATGCATTCTTTGCAGCAGGTTCAAATAATAATAAGAAAGCGATTATTTTTTAAGCAAAGTTAAAGTGAAGAGATGGATGCACAGTGGCATCCCAAGGTGTGAAGCACTTGAAGGAGCATCCTGCAGCTTGAGAGGAACCTCTCTAGCCCTGGGGAAGGCTCAGGACCTTTGCACAGATCAGGAAGCTGAGGTGCAGACCTGAGAAAGCCTCTTTCCTAACGTTTCCTAGGCCAGTGCTGGTCGGGCTTTGAGGCAGGTCTTTGGGGCTGCCGTAGCCAGGCCTTTGGGGCTCAAAGACAAGCCCTTTCCACCACCCATTTGCCCTCTGTCACCTTTCTCTGGCCCCTCCTGCAGGCTGCAAGAGTGTGCACTATGACCTGCTTTTCCTCCTGGACACCTCCTCCAGCGTGGGCAAGGGGGACTTTGAGAAGGTGCGGCAGTGGGTGGCCAACTTGGTGGACACATTCGAGGTGGGCCCGGACCACACGCGAGTGGGCGTTGTGCGCTACAGCGACGCGCCCACCACGGCCTTCGAGCTGGGCCGCTTCAGCTCGCGCCAGGAGGTGAAGGCAGCGGCCGGGCGCATCCCGTACCACGGTGGCAACACCAACACCGGCGACGCTCTGCGCTACATCACGGGCCGCAGCTTCTCCCCGCAGGCCGGCGGCCGGCCAGGAAACCGCGCCTTCAAGCAGGTGGCCATCTTGCTGACTGACGGCCGCAGCCAGGACCTGGTGCTGGACGCCGCCGTGGACGCTCATGGGGCGGGCATCCGCGTCTTCGCCGTGGGCGTGGGCGCGGCGCTGAAGGAGGAGCTGGAGGAGATCGCCTCGGAGCCCAAGTCGGCCCACATCTTCCACGTGTCGGACTTCAACGCCATCGACAAGATCCGTGGCAAGCTGCGACGCCGGCTGTGCGAGAGTGAGTGGCCCTGGAGTCCTGGGGGGGCTTCCTGCGGGAGGCAGCAGGGCCAAGGGAGGAGGGGCCCCTGGGCAGGAGCAGGGGGCCAGCGGGTGCAGGGAAGTCTGCCCTTCCTGGGCCAGAATCGCCAGGGACCTAGTGATGTGCGCGTCCAGCAGCCCAGCTGCAGTCTTGCTCCGCTGGGGACAGATGTGAGGGGCAAAGAAAGGGGCTCGGGATTGAAGCCAGGATTCTGAGTCCCCACGCCATGTGTGAGGAGCCTGAGGTCTCAGAGTGCCATCTCCCTGTCTGAGATGAGGATGCTGGGCAGTTGGAGTTAGTGCTTGCAAAGTCCTCCCTGGGGTGTCTGGCACACGATGGCTCCAAAGGGGATTCCAGGAACAATCAGGCCAGCAAACAGATGCAGAGCAGCTGTGCAGGGTGGCAGAGCTCTGTGGACCTGCTGACCTCTGGGGTAACTTGCTTGTCTGAAATCTGTTCCTTGTGCCTGAATCTGGGGCAAGGTTGGGGGTGCTGGGCAGGAGGCAGGCAGAGAGCTGATGGCTGGGCCAGAAGCCTGACCTGCAGTGTCCCAGAGGGTCACTGTGAGGACAGCCACCTCCCCAGGACAGGAGGCTGGAGTGGCTTTCTCCTGGTCCAGACTGTCTCCGGTTTCTGCCCTTGCCTACTTCACTGGGTGACTTTTTATCCACGGGTCAAAATGGGTGCTGGGTGACCAGGCCCAATGGGGCTATTCTTGGAGGCTGGTAGGGGTGGGAGCAGAGTCACAGCCTACCTTGCTGACTACTGCAGGGCATGGAGCAAGCCCTGGCTGGCAAGCCTGGTGCTCACCTCATCAGGGGTAAAATGGCCTTAGGGACGGGGGCAGTGCAGGAAGGGGCTGGCAGGGGCAGCAGCTTGCTTGTCTCAGCCGGGGTGTGTCTGGCTTGCAGCTGAAGCCCAGCAGAAACAGAAACTCCTGGCTTCTTTACCACAACACGACATCTCTTTGGGTTGCTTGAAGGCCATGTGCTCTGGTTGTCCATGAGGTGCATGGGCTGGAGAAGGAAGAGGTGGCGTGGGGCTCAGGGATGCCATAACACAGTCAGTGAAGGATAGTACACCTGTGTGGCTGGGCTCGTGGGAGTGGATATCACTGGGCTTGTCTGATCACCCCTCACAATAAAGAAGCTCCTGGGCTCCATGGTAGAGATGTTGTTGACATGGCATGGTCAGAGCTGGGCAGAGAATGGAATGCCAACAGGACAGCAGGGAAAAGAACATGTTGTCCCTTGACAAGAGAGCTAGAGAAATTCCGGGAACTGGATATTAGGAGAGATCAGCATTGATTACCAGGCTCATTTTACAGATGAGAAAGTTGTTACCCAGAAGGCTAAGTGAAGCTAACCTGCACTCTAACATATGAGCAAGGCATCGAGCATGGACTTAACATAAGTGACTTAATGCGTCACTCATTACAAACTCGGGACAGGGAGCAGAATCCAGCCTCCAGCCTCACATACTGGCCTCCTCCTGCTGTGTCACCAGATACCAGGTGTCACCATAGCCAAACTCAGCTCTGTGTCAGGGACAGTGCTGAGAGGACTGGTCCTGGAAAACCCCACTCTAACTGGCTTAAATCAGCAAATTTATTTTCACACATGATTGAAAGACAGAGGTCCTGATGTTTCAAAGATGAAACCAGGCCATGTTCTACACCCTCCATGACTAGGCTTCTGCCCGGATGGTAATGTGCTTCAGCAGATGTGGGTGCCAAGTCTCTACTTCGCTAGACAGACTCAGGGAATCCTCTGACCAGAGAATAAGTGAGATTGTCCATGGAAAATAACAAGTGGGCTCTTGGGCTGGGACCAGGACTGAGGGGAGAGAAGAGGTGAGAGCACAGACAAGATACCTTCAGTGGCCCTTAGTGCTCTGTGGGCCTGCAGACCCAAGGGCAGGCCTGAAGTGCAGTCATTGGTTGAACGTAGGTCATGTGACTTCTCCTAGACTCATAGTGGAAATAGGTGGGATCTTTAGGGCCAAAGCCATATGATATTGTTTAGCATTTGGGAGTGGAGATAGTTAGCATCCCTCTTCCTTGAAGGAAAGGGCTTTGCTACACAAAGGAAAACCAGGGAACTGTTGTTAAGAGAAAGGGAAACAGATGCCAACCAGCCCCGAAAAACACATGTCCATCTTGCTAACCTCAAGGAAAACTTGAAAATCCTTATGGATTCTCCAAATGCCTAAATAGAAGCAGGATTTAAGTGAATGCTCAGTTGCCTGAGGGGAATCCACTTTTGTAAATACAGCTGGGAAATGAAGAGGGTCTGTCTATTCTGGTGGAAAACGAAGCGAAATCCCCTTACAATCACTTTAATTAGAAATGAAGCAAAACAAAATAAAAGCACTAACAGTGACATATTGGAAACATCTGGCTAGATTAAATCAAGGAGCGTCCCAGAATTCAAACACCAGAAATCCCTGAAGATGGCTGTGAAGGAGATTGCAGCTGATTGGAATAAGAGCTATTCTGAATACAGGCTTCTTCCTATGGCTGATCTGGAAAACCACAGAGTACAATAGGGTGTTATTTTATGTAATAATCATTCAGTGCAACCCATTTCATTCATTCATTCATTCAACCATTGCATATTGTAGTCACCTTTACATTCACTTTATTCCATTCAATCAGTGTATTTAACAACCACACGTTGTAGTAAACATTCATTAAATTCAGTGAGTTCATTCCTTCATTCATCAGCCACACAGTGACTGGTTCCTCCATGTTGGGCCCCACCCCAGAGGCCCAGGATGGAGGGATGGAGCTGCTTGCCATTTTCTTTGTCCCTGAGAAGCTCTTGTCCACTTGAGGACAGCGGTGGACAGTTACACTGGGATGTGGACAGTGGCTGCTGTCTGCATTGTATGTAAGTATTAGTTTATGTGTGTAATAGTGCCTGCCTCCACACTTACAGAATAAGCTTCACCAGGACAAAGTCTGTTCCTTATGATACCTGGCATTTAGGAGTTTTCTAATAGTTTAAAGGAAACCAAGGGCAGTGTCCTGACATTGAATTCTGTGCTTGCTGTTGTGTTGTGTGCATTGGATGTATGTATGCATAGTCTTTCCTCACACATGCCAAATGCAAAGCTGAAAGTACGTACAATGATTGAAATACTTAACTCGTCCAGATTTTCGTGATCGGAGAGAAATGGTTCGGTTTTGAAGGTTGGTGCAGGTCTCAGAAAAGTAGACTGGGTGGAATAGACTCGAAAAAGATATTACCCTGTCAAACCAACTCTGCTCCAGGTGAGTAGGTCTAGGGGGGGTTGCTGCTATCCCAGAGTTTTGTGGTACAGTGTCTCACTCCATCCTCGTCCCACCCACCCATGAGGGAGGTGTCCACGTGGACATTTCATATGTGGCATCCGGATGCTCTAGGCCTCTGCTGTCCAACATGTGAGCCCTGCATGGGATGGGGGGCTCCAAACTGAGAATCACTGCAAGGGTGATGTACACACAGGTTTTTGTGGATTTAATATAAAAAGTAATACATCTCATGAATTTTATATTGATTATACATTGAGTTGGTAATATTCCAGGAAATTGGGTTGAATATAATAAATTAGTAAAATAAATTTATCTTATTTCTTTTTACAATTTTTAATGTGCCCATTAGAAAATTTAGCATTGCATATGTGGCTCATTCACATTTCCCTTTGGATGTTATGCCTTGGAGGGGAAATCTTGGCTGCTGCATTTGGTAAGTTTTGAAGGGATTGGGTTGGTCACGTAAGAACAATGGATGTAGAGTTTCCAGTGCTTGGCCATTAGACTTATTCCTTGTATGATTTTTAACATGTTACCCAATTTTCCTGATTTTTTTGTTTTCCCACTTAAAAACAAACATCCTCTCTACCCCACATATAGTGGAAGCAGAGTGGCAAAGTGGACAGTTTGACTTTGCTGCATTTGACCTCAGGTCCTGAGCTCTCACTGGCTGGTTGTGTTACTTAGGAAACACCTTCAAGTCCCAGTTTCAGTCAAGTGTCATCTCAGTCCTCTGGCAAAGTGCTCTGGTCCTCCCTCCCTTGTGGTCCATGGCTTTGAGAGCAGAGAGGCTACCGTGCAGCAGGGAGTAGAGTAAGGGCCCTCAGTGTGCTTCTGGAATCCCCTTGGATGTGGAACTGTTGAGCCCTACTCTGGGCCTTCCACAGGCCTGGTTTATATGCCATGGTCACTGTCTTCCTGTTGAATGACGCTAACCATACTTGAAGTCTTTGTCCCATTTTACCAATGAAAAACATGCAAACTTAGGAGTGGAATAACCATGGCAACAAGGACAAGGACAGTGACCAGTGTTATTGAAGCTACATTTCAGGCATCAGAGCCCTCTAAGACCTCTCCAGAAAACTCATCTGAGGTCCTCTATGGTGGGGCTGTGGTGTCCCTTGGCCTTGTGTACATCCAGGGAAGCGCCTGCTCACCATCATAAGAACTCCTGCTTCTCTGAGATTCCCAGGGGAGCAAATCTCAGCCTCAGCTTTCTGCAGCGTGTGGGGTGGAGGCTGTGGACAGGCTCTGTAATTAAGAACTCCTCCACCCTAGACTGAATCGTGGTCACAAAACAACCTTTATATAGCTTATCGGGTCACTGTAAGTGGGCCTGTGGAATTCGAGCTGGCCACAGCTGAGGAGGCCTCCACCTACTTCTATTTTGGGGACAGGCTGTGGTGGTCCTCGCCCCACTGCCCCCACTGAGGGACACTTGCTTGGAACATGGACCCTGGCTTTCAGCTGCTAGACTCTGGTTCAGATGTGGGTCTGGATTAGGAGGAAAAGAGGCCTCTCTTACACTTCTGTAATACTGTACATCTCAAGGCACATGGGTGCTTCTCTCTCTTGCTCTCTCTCTCTCTGTTCCCATAATGTGTCATAGTTCATTGCATTCCTGTTCCAATAAGAGTTTTGGCCCTTGGATGCTCTACTTGAAATATGACCATGAGTGGGTGGG